CCAAATCCTTAAGTGACTCCCCTCTTCAGCAATTCCCGTGATTTCCTGTTGCCCCAGCGTAAAATATAAATTCATCTGTTTAGCATTTAAAGCCCTACAAAATCTGTCTGCAACCTATCTTTCCAGCCGCATTGGACAGTACTCCTCTCATAAACCAAATCCAACCAAACTGTCTTTATCTATTCCTCAAATAATATATCATCTTCCATATTGGTGCCATTTTCCACGCCTGGAAAGCACTCTCTCTTCCTTTAAGATGTAACTCAGGCTCCGTTCCTGAAATCTTTCCCCATCTTTTAATGACTAATGCCCTTTCTCTCAAACTCCCTTGCATTTAGCTACGTTGTATATATTTGTATTTAGTCACTTTTATCTTTGGGCTGTACATATTTTTTAATAAATATACTTGTTGTCTCCCTCATTAGAATATAAACTTCTTGGTGCTAAGTATTGTTTTATTCTTTGTACCTTGTGTCCCCAGTGCCTGGCATAATAGGTGCTTAATAAATACTTATTGATTGATGGAGTCAATAAACATTTACGTGCCTAAGCCCTGGAGATATAAGGAAAAGTCAAACAGTCCCTGCGCTTAGAGAGCTTGCAGTCTGACAGGGAGACAACATGCAAACGACTATGTACAACAAGCTATAGATAGGATAAATTTGAGATAATCAACAGAGGAAAAGCACTAGAAGTATTGAAGGAGTAGAGGATAGGTATTTAGAAGGAATATAAACTATATCCCCACATGCATGGCATCCATATGTGTACCTGGGCCGTGTGGTCCTTCTGCTCTTCAAGGCCAGCCCCTTTTCATGGGCACTTGATCCCATCCCTTCCTGTCTTCTCTGGCAAATTGTATCCTCTTTCTCAAATCTTCAGCTTCAATTAGCTAATTCTTTTCTGCTGCCTTCAAACATACCCAAGCCTCATCCATATCTTAAAAAACTTTCACTATACCTTACTGTCCCCTTAAGCCATTGTCCTTATCTCACCTCCCTTTTTCAGCCAAACTCCAAAAAAGTTTTCTAAACTCACTTGCCTTCACTTCTTCTCCTCTCACTCTCTTGTTAAATCTGCAGTCCTGCTTCCAACCTCATTACTTAATTGAAACTGCTCTCTCCAAAGTTATTAATAATTTTTGCCATTATTACTAATGATCATTGCCAAATCTGGTGGTCTTTTTTCATTCCCAATCCTTCCTAGCCTATCTGTATTAGACACTACTGACCACCTGGGCCATGTATATATCTGCCATATGTGCCCTTTGATGAATGTTCCTTAATCAAAGGGGCTTCTTTGTGTGCATCCCCTATATGTCAAGCATGTTTATTGCAAAGGTACCCCCTTTTACTAGTGGAGTTGCAATGAGAAAGTATATCCCAATTGTGCATTTCATTTATTGCTCCTACTTCTGCCCTCTGGGGCCAAGCAGAACAAATACAATCCCTCTTCTGTAGCCTTTAAAAGACCTGAAAGAACTTATCACTTTTAACCAGGAAGGACAATAATCGTTGTATCAGGGTGCTTGCTCCACTGGATGTAGATTATTGTCCTTCCACATGTACTTGTGAGCTGTTGGAAGTAAAAAAAATTAATCACCTAATAACCAACCTTTGGTGATGGGCCTCAATACACTATTGTTGTTCCTATACGGAGCTTGAAACCTTGCGCATTTCAGGATGGACATTCAGTTAGGGTACATATGGAAGACGGCAACTAAGATAGTGGGGGGCTAGAGACCGTACCATATGACAGTTGATTAAAGGAACTGGGATTGTTTAGCCTAAAGAAAAGGCTTGGGAAGGGGCAGCTAGGTGGTGCAGTGGATAGAGCTCTGGCCTTGGAGTCAGGAGGACCTGAATTCAAATCTGGTTTCAGACACTTGGCACTTAACTAGCTGTGTGACCCTGGGCAAGTCACTTAACCCCAGTTGCCTAAGCAGGTTCCAGTCCTGAAGACTCCTCTTGAGAAGGCAACTGGGGCAGAGATGGAAAAATCTGGACCAGTGTCAGGACTGGAACCTGGTTAAAAGTGTTAAGTTCTTTCAGGTATTTGAAAGGCTATAGAAGAGGGATTGTATTTGTTCTGCTTGGCCCCAGAGGGCAGAAGTAGCAGTAATAAATGAAATGCCAAAAAGAAAAAAAGAAAAGACTTGGGGGAACTAGATAGATAGATAAATAGATAGATAGATAGATAGATAAATAGATAGATAGATAGATAGATAGATAGATATTATTAAGTGCTTAATATGTACCAGGCACCGGACTAAGCACAGGAAATGCATATATAAGCAGAAAAGAACACCGTACCTGCTTTCAAAGACCTTACATTCTGACAGAGAAAATAATGTCAAGATCGAAGCTGAAAAATGGGCATTGGGGGGTGGAGAGAAGATACCTGCATGAGACAGAGGTGGAAAAGTCTGGAGAGTCAGAAGCTAGATTAAAAGTGAGCATAGCTGTCCTAGGAACGTCTTCGAATGGAGGTTCTAGAAAGGAACTCACCATCTGAAAGAATAGATCATGAAATTTATAGAGTGGGAGATTTTGACTGGATTTAAGGAAAAAACTTACACTTAAAACTATCCATAAGTAAAGTAGGCTCCCTGGGGAGAAAATTCTTTCACTAGAGGTGGGTTGTTGTTTTTTTTTCTTTTCTGTTGGTGGCTGTTGTTTTATAGAGGGTCCTTTTCTGGGCATATTCCTTCCTCCCATCCTCAAGTGAGCCATTCCTTGTAACAAAGATTAAAAAAGAAAGAGGGGGAAAAAATAGTCCAGCAAAACTAGCCAATACATCTACTGTGTCTGACAGCATATTCAATATTCCATACTCACTGGTGGGAGTCACATGGCAACGTGAGGTTGTTCTAGAAAAGATATGAGTTGAACAAGATTTTCTCTGAGGTCCCTTCCAGCTATGACTTTCTGGAATAGTAAAAAAAGTTGATGTTTATTTAGCATTTTATCATTATAGGGTACTTTAAAGACATTATCTCAGTTGATCATTATAAAACCCCATGAGGTAGGTGTTACAAGTATGATTGGATTCATTTTATGTCTAAGCATACTGGGGTTTAGAGAGGTTGAGTAATTTATCGAATAATCTTGGGATTCTTAAATGTATGAGCTGGGCAGGTGCACAGGGAATTCTGCAGCCTAGTTAGACTTTAAAAAGCTGTCACTCTAAAATGTGTAGGAAGTTAATTATGAATACATGAGATCAAGAACAATTCTCCAGTGGATAAGTGGTCAAAGAATATGAACAAATAATTCTCAAAAGAATGTAAACTATAAATAACAGTATGAAACCTTGCTCCATGTAACTACTAAGCCTTAGCACAATGCCTAGCACATAATAGGTACTTAATAATAGTTTCTTGACTACTTATTAACTAATTATAAGAAAAATACCAATCAAAATAACTTTGAGGTTTCACTTTACACTCTGCTAATTAGCAAATGTGACTAAAGATAGAAATAGGCAGTGTTAGAGGGACATTATTATGATGTGGGTGGTGCTTTGAATTGACCCAAACATTCTGGAAAGCAGTTTGGAATTGTGCTGGAAAAAAATACTTTAACTCAGAGATCCCACTACCAGTTTTGTAGGAGTTTTAGTTTAGTGTTCAGAGACTAGAACAGGGATCCTTGGCAGTGAGATAAGACTTCCTGTTCCAGTAGGTGGATTGAGAATTAATTATGGGCCAGGATTAAATTAAAAAAATATTTATTTAGGGCTCATATATGACAAAGGCCTTGCTGTTAAGAAATTTACAGTCTCATGAGGAGGACAAGTACATAAGTAACTATCATACAAGAAAGCATGAAATATGTTCAAAGGAGAGGTCAAAGTAAAGGACTATGAAAAAATTGAAGAGAGCTCATCTATGCCTGAGTGAGGAAGGGAGGCAAGAGGGAATATCTCCTGGAGGAAGTATCATATAATTTGGCCATGAAGGAGGAGAATGAGATCAACAGATGGATATAATGGGGAGAGTCCATTCCATGGCTTAAGTCACAGAAGTAAAAGAAGCAAGATGAAGAATGAGGAATGCAGAGTAGTCCAGTTTGGCTGGAATGCAGAATATGTGAAGGAGAGTAAAATGAGATAAGGTCGAAGATAGGTTGACGCCAGATGGTGGACAGCCTTGATCAACAGGTTGTATGTCCCTGGATAAGAAATTCCTAATCCTATTTAGGCCTAGGCAGCTGTGCCAGAGAGGGCTGTTCTTGGCAGAGTTGGAAATAGCGCTGTTTCCCTGTGCTCTTCTGAGATTGCACCTTTCTCCATCTTCTTTTCTTAGTTGCTGTAGGAAAACCTCATTTCTGTTTAAGTGCAGCCAAATCCCCCAGCACGTTCAGGGCTTTCCCACTTCTTTACCTTTGCTCATGCTGTGGTCTTCAACTAAAATGCCTTTTCCACAACATACATCAATCAGTCGAGCATTCATTACGCCTCTGCTATGTGCTTAAAAGATAAGTATTAATACGGAGAACATGTTCTAAGTACTAAATGAGTAGTTCAGAAGTAAGGCATATTTAGTGTTTGTGGGAGGGTGTTACCTTCCTAGAGGACAAGAAATTTTAGCTGGACCTTGAAGGGTGGCTAAGTTTTACATAGGCAGAGTGAAAGAGGGATGGATGCTTCAGAGTCCAGCTCAAATGTATAAGCAGAGTGGAGGAAGAAGGGTCTTCCAGACAAGCGGCAATTCCTATAGAAAATGAGTGGGAGATTTCAAGGGTCAGATTGTGGGGAGCCTGGATTGCCAGTTTAAGGAGTTTAGGCTTTTTTTCCATAAGAATTTGGAAACCATTAAAAGTTTTTGAGCTGGGGAAGGACATGCCCAGAACACTGCTTTCAGAACATTCATCTGACAGTAGGAGCAGGATGGATTGGAAGGGGAGAAACTGGGTAGAGAATATGAGGGAGACTTGAATTAGTCTGGGTGTAAGGGAATTTTACCTTTTTTATTTACCTTTCTTCCTTTCCATAAATAGGATTTACAGTTTCCAAACCTGATGTGATTTCCTTGCTGCAGGAAGAGGAAGAACTGTCTGGCTCAGATTTTCAAGGAATTCAAGAAACAGAGATCTCAAGAGATACCTACACAGGTGAGTGAGAATAGCCTCACAGGGACAAAGGGTAATAACAGCCTAGCTAGTTAATGAGGTATTTGAAGTTTTCAATTTAATTCAATTTGTATTTCTGGAGTACCTTTCTACATGTCTGTATACCTGTGAATCTCTGCTCTGTGGGCTGCAGGTCTTCCCAGCATCTGAAGCCATGGAATGAGACTGAGGCAGGCAGGTAGGCGATAAGCATATATTAAATGCTTACCACGTGCTAAGCACTGTGCTAAGTGTTGGGGATACAAATATAAGCAAAAAGAAAAACTGTCCTTGCCCTCAAGGAGTTTACATTCTGCTGGGGAAAGAAAACATATAAAAGGGAGCTGAGAGGAGGCAAGGAGAGATAGAAGATACTAAGAGAGTTAGAAGCAGAGCTGGGAGGGGAATGAAGCATGGCTGGCCTGGGCCCATCCCCAAAATGGAGGTCCCAACTCACCAGTGGGAGACAAGAGGATTAGTATGATGGAGGGAAGTTCTATGGTGAGAAATCCCCAGGTGCTGAGGGAAGTTCACTGTGAGAGCACAGCCATCATGATGGCTGAGTCTGAGAGAATCAGCAGTACAGCAGGGATGGGAAAGAAGACAATGCCTTTCTTCCCTTTCTCTCTGTCTGGTGTCATCTCTTTCCCAATCACAACCAACTGCTGCCTTACCCATGATCAGAAAGAACTCTAGATTAGGTGTGTCAGATCATTTGAGCTCTAGATCCAGCCTGCCTGCCATTAACTCACTTCATGATCTTGGCTAAATCCAGGGTTTCATTTGTCAAGAGAGTCCAGACCTCAATGGCGTCTCAGGTCCCTTTCCAGTTTTAACATTCCATAGTTTTATGGCATAGTAAAATGTAAGGTCCTGAAGAGGAACACTGTTTTGGTTTTATCTTGGTATCTCCAGCACTGAGCATGGTGCTTTGCATATTAGTAAAATGTGAATTGAATTGAATTGGATTGGCTTAGCTTCCCAAGTTCAGCGATTCCTCCTCTAGATTCTCAGTCCCTCTTGTCACCACCGCTGGGAACTTCATTGCTATTCTCTCTGAAAACTGTTACACGAGCTCCTCTTTACCTCTCTGTAACTTGTGTTCAGTCTGCTCATCCTAAGATCTTCCTGTACATTCCTTTTAGCCTTTGCCACTAGTCAAGGTTCCCAACTTTTTTGATGGGCAGATGGAGGATGCCAGGATCTAGCCCTGGGCCTTAGGATTCCTGACCCAGTGGTCAGCTTCTAAGTTGACTTTGCCTTTGGCCTTCATATTTCCACCTTTCCACCTTACTAAATTTCTCAAGTTACTAAATTCCATTTTGAGGCACTGACTGTCTTGGGTCCCTGAGCCAATCTGGTATTGGATCTAACCACTAATTTCTGGACGCCCTGCCATTCCCACTGTTGAGTGGCCTTTCCTAATGCCCTCTTTCCTCTTTACCTTCTCTCCCATTTTTACATAATCCAGACTATAAAAGGACCTTTTCTAGGGCTTTTTTATAAGGGAAAGAGAATATGCAAATTCAGAAAATCTAAGAAGGTAAAATAACTAGGAGTGTACAGAAAAAAATTCTGCAGAGATCCGGACTGAGCAATGGCTAAGCTTTTTCATTTCATCCTTAACTAAAGTACTCAAGGATTAATGTAGGCTGCCTTTCGTCTTGGAACTTGACACCTCTTTTACCTCCAGATGAGAATGGTGTCTTCAGAACACATCTAAGCCAAATTTGAGATTCAACCACCAAGGTTCTGTTGACCAAGGTCATTGCTGTATTTTTCCTATTCTGTATTCATTCTTAGCTACTCAGGAAACCTCCTGATGATAATATGGTAGTCTTTTGGCATTTCACCCAGATTATGGTTACCCTTGGTTAGCTTTATCTTGTCTGGCTCCCTAACTCCAAGAGCCAAACAGAAGAAATAAAAACAAGCAAATAAAACAATTCCTAATCAAAATAATTCAGCCAGATTCATAGCTCATTCTTAAAGTTTACAATAGACACCTTATTCTTTATAGGACATTTTTTTTTGTTTACTTTGCCTTCCCTACCTGGTCACCCCTCCTACGGCTTTGGCCATCCATTTACCAGTTTTCCAGACCTACAGACTGATCAGGCTCTTCATACCCAGGAGGATTGGGAAAACCTGTGATGAGCACTATATTACCAAGTGAAATTCCTGCCTATGTCCCTGTTCCCTTTTCCATAATGAGGTCCTTTTGGAAAGCCATCAAAGCTTTGGGCATCTATTAGAAATTAATTTCAAGGATGATGATTATCTTCCTTTTCTACCTGTTTCCTTTTTCCCAGCACAGGGAAAAGATGACATTTGGATTTTCATTTCCTTATTTCAGATTCTGAATCTGAGATTGAATTGTTAACTCCAAAGCAAGAAGTTTCTGAAGGAGAAGAACATGGAGGGATGTTGAAAAGTCTCCTCAGAAATGTTCCTCGAGGACCCAAATTTGCAGAACCCTGTGAACGGGAGGACAATTTAGAAAGGCAAATGGGAAACTCTACTGGGGGCAGAGAGAGGATATCCCTCTCCCAGAAGCGAGGTTCCTGGCATATGACAGTCCTTCACCAGGAAGCTCCCCCAGTAGAGGGGAGTCAAGGATGTGATGAATTTGGGGGAAGCTTTAGTCTGAGCTCGAGCTTTATGGCACGTCAGGGAGGCTCCATAGGAGGGAAACCCCATAAATGTGACACCTGTGGTAAATGCTTCAAATACAATTCATTACTTATTAAACACCAGAGAATTCACACTGGAGAGAAACCCTATGAATGCAGTGATTGTGGGAAGTGCTTCAGAGGGTGGTCAGGCTTTATTCAACATCACAGAATTCACACTGGAGAAAAGCCTTATGAATGTAATGAATGTGGGAAAGCCTTCAGTCACAGTTCACATTTTACTCAACACCTGAGAATTCATAATGGAGAGAAGCCCTATAAATGTAATGAATGTGGGCAAGCTTTCAGCCAGAGCTCAAATCTTATTCGACACCAGAGACTTCACACTGGAGAGAAGCCCTATGAGTGTAGTGAATGTGGGAAAGCTTTCATTTGGAGCTCAGTGCTTATCGAACACCAGAGAATTCACACTGGGGAGAAACCCTATGAATGCAATGAATGTGGGAAAGCCTTCAGAGGGAGGTCACATTTTTTTCGACACCTGAGAACTCATACTGGAGAAAAGCCTTTTGAATGCAATGAATGCGGGAAAGCCTTTGGTCAGAGCTCACAACTTATTCAGCATCAGAGAATCCACTACAGAGAATAACCCCGGGAATGTAATGTAATGAGTGTGGGGAATGGATGCCTTGATAGAGCAAAGAATCTACTTTGGGGCATGAGCCCATAAAGAAAAAAAAAAACAAGGTCCTAATGGAAAGGGTTTTTGTCTGTCTAATTCTCTTTGTGCAGCAACCTAGCCCAGCACCGCATGCAGTGAGGTAATTAATAAATACTTGGTGATTGGTGATAATAAATTTCTTGTTCATAACTGTGTAAAATCCTTCAGTGACTGCTCCCCTATCCTATTTACTGAGGGGTCACAAGAAGAGAAGAAAAATAGGGGAGCATATTGTCAAAGGGAAAAATACAAATTTGGGAAATAGGTGAGTGGCGGCCAATTCTGCGAAGATCTCAAGGCTTAGAGAACATTAAATGGAGAACACTGGACTTGGCCAAAGGAGATTGAGGGTAATAACCAGGGCAACGTAGGTAATTTAGCCACCACCAGCGTTACTGAGCTTTCACTTGGGGAGTATTAAAGAGGCAGGCTATAGCATTCTGTCCTTCAGGTTCTCAGGGTGGAGGAGAATGAAAACAATAAATGTTCTTAGGTAGCCACCAGACGGGACCTTGAAGAGTGGGAAGAAAAGTTGACTTCACTTCTTCTAACTCCATAAGGTCTCTTATTTCCACCTCCCTCCCTATCATTTCTTGGCCTTCCCTTCTCTACCCTTCCCATGTGTGTTCCCTGTCTATATTTACATATATATTTTTTCCCTCTCTACTTGCTGTGAGGGGGGCAGGGTTTGGTAGAATAGGGGGTCTTAACTTACTTTTGTGTGTAACTATGGTGGCCAAAGCAAAATCACTCTGTGTCCCTTAACTGTGTACAAGTAAGGAACTAGGTTAAAAAGTACCTTGGTAGAATACCTTGCAAGGGATACCACAGTATCAATAATAAATTATTTTTAAAGTTCATTCAGGGTAGGATTCCACTTATAGCTTTAATGAAGTCACTTGATAGTGCAAAAGACTTAATGAATGATAAAAGAGAATTGGAATTCTGGAGCTGGAATTCTTGTAGTTGCCTAGTCCAACCCTCCAGCCCACATAGGAACAAATCTATAGCTTTCCTGATAGATGGTTATCTTGTTGCTGGTGATATGCTTCCAGTGATAGAAGACTCACTAACTGCATTGAGGAGCAGTTTGGGTCTGATTTTTAGGAGTCTAGTCCTCACACTGAGCTGGAATTTGCTTCTCTGTAACACCCACTCAGTATACACATTGTTCCTCATTTGGCCCTCTGGGGCTAAGCAGCTAAATCTCACTCCTTTTTTATATGACAACCCTTAAAGTAATTTGAAGGCATATTATGTTCTTCCTCAGTCTTCTCCAGTTACTTCAACTAATCCTCATGACCTTATCCGTTTCATCCTGAGTGTCTTACAGATGTGTTCCAATTTGTTAATGGTCCCCCTTAAAATCTGGTGCCTAGAATCCTACAGGTCTAACCATGACATAGAAAAAGAGATTCTGATTTAAAATTTTCTTTCCTTCCTGAGGAAGGTGTAAAGAGATTTTTTCTTGTACTGTCTTTTGAAGTGGACACATTTGACCAGAGAATTGCTACACTGCATTAGCCTCACAAATCCATCTGGCCCTGTGCCACATCTGATAGGGACCCCAAGGGATATGTGGTGGTAGCTCATGGCTGTCCCTAATAGTGTCCTCAGAGGCTAATTCAGAGAACTCCAAAACATCTTGGTTTACTTTAATGATTTGTTATGGATATGTCACCAAAGAGTTCATACAATACTATTTTGAAACAGTTGATAGGTTCAGCCTTATATCCCCTATCAGGGAATTCCCAGCCACCATGGGTTGTGTGACAAAACTATCTCAGTTTACCTTTCAAATTTTAAGGGTTGTTCCTTTGTTTAATCTAGCATTGGTGAACATAACCCTCTTCCACTCCATCCCTATCATTCATTATTTTAGGGACTTTGAAAATAAAGTAACATTATCCCTCTAGGAGTCCTTAGGATTTAGAGTCCTTAGGATTTAGAGACCTTAGAGACAAAGTAGTCCCAACTGCATTTTACAAATAAAGAAACTGAGATTGACAAGGAGAAGGGGCTTTTCTAAAATCATACTGGGAGTAAATATCAGAGCCCAGACTTGAACTCATGTCTTCCATCTAGTTCTCTTATTCCTGAGGTCTTGTGGCCAGAAACTTGGCAGCCTATGGTTTTATACATGCTTCTTAGATTAAGAGTTGTCATTTTGTTTCTAATATTCTTGATAGCTCATTTGGCCCTCCAACTACCCACACACACACACACACACACACATCTCATTTTTACTTATAGTCTAAGGTTCTGTATTGAGCTTTCTAGGATAACAGCTAGGTTCACCTGATAAATTATATCTCATCAGTGAAAAAGAGTTTAAGGAATAGGATCCCTTGCCATCACCACCAGCCTCCCCCAGTTCTCCCTCTCAAAGTAATATGCTTATATTTAACAGCTTTCTAAAGCTCATGGTTTGCCCATCAGTTCCAGTAGTGGGTATTTGGGGCCAGGTGTGTGTGCATGTGTGTGTGTGTATGGACACATGCATACGTGGGAGCACATGTGTGCATATGGTCAAGAAAAATAGAATGCTAGAAGTAGAAGGAACCATATAGGTCACCTAGTTCAAATCTTGGAGCATGAATTCTATTTACAGCAGACCCAGCAGGTTTTAGTCCATGTGTGAAGTTCTCCAGTGATGGGTAGCTTATGATCTAGCAAGGCAGCAAATTCCATTTTTCAACAGCTCTAATTCCTTCCTCAATGTGGCAAGACCACTATATTCAAGGTACAGCAACCCTTCCCCAGTTAACAGACCCAATTATGTTCTCACTCATTCAGTTATTGAGACCTAGTAGTATCCTTTCCCCTGAAATATTATTTCTTCATCCCTATTACTCCATCCATTACTCCATTACTGCCCCTGGTTATCTCATTTTAGGCCTCAAGCTTTCCAATGCATGTGTTAAAATATAAGCTAATAAGGCCTTCTGCTGTAAACATTTATTACCCTGATTATTATGAAACATCCTTTAAATTCCCAAATTCTTCAGTAGACTGGACCATCATCTAATCCAACAGATGAAAAATTTTGCAGATGAGAAAACAGCTAAGAAAAGTTAAGTCACATGGGTGACTATTACTGGTAGGAAACCCAAGTCCAGTAGACTACATATCAAAGCCTTACCAGTGCACTGTGCTACCTCTATTTGTTAGGAAGTTTTTCTATCGAATGAAAATCTGACTCCCTATGACTTTCAGCCTTTGGTCTTATTTCTGCCTTCTTGGGTCAAGAGGAACAAGGCTTATCTCCCACATAGAATCACATAGTCTCATGTTAGGAAGACCTCTCAGAAGTCACTTAACAGTATGATCATTTAGTGTTGGAAGATTCTCACTGAATCTCCCCTTAAGTCTTCAGGCTAAACATTCCAACTTCTGCCAAACTTCCCATGACATAGTCTTAAGTCCACTATCCTGAATGCCTTTCTCCAGATAGCAATATCTATTGGCAGGCAGGAGATGCTACAAGCCACACAGTGGACCAGCCATATACCAACATGGCTTCAGGGCAGGAACAGAATGATAAATTTAGAACTGGAAAGTAGAGGACATACAGCAAACCCCCTCATTTTTCAGATGATGAAATTGAGGCCCTTGAAAGGCCAATTAGCCAGCCCACCCCTAGTCTCTGCCTCATGTTACAGATGCCCAAAGTCACATAACTAGTGAGTAGCAGAAATGGGATTTGAATGATCATTTTCCTCCAAATTGAGTGGTCTTTCCACTATACCATGAGGCTTCTTGTTGGGGGACAGCTTGGAAGGGGGAGCTTTGACAGTTCCTGTGTCTTCAAGTTGTTGGCAGTTCTTAAACTCTGTGGTCAAGAAAACCTTGACCACTGAGGGTATACAATCTTCCTTCCAGAATCCCAAAATCACGTGATGCACCTGGAAAGGCAGAATAACAAAAACTCCCTTTTGTGTAGTATTTTACTGTTTACAGAACATGTTCTTCATAATAGTTCTATAAAGTAGGCAATGTAGGCCATTCTCATTTTATAAGTGAGGAAATTATGATTCATAGAGGTTAACTAAGTCCCATGTATTTTGGAAGTTGTAAGAGATGAGTACAAGTCAGTCTCACTGTTTCCAAAGACTTGTTAGGGTTCTGTCACTGCATGACTGCATGTCATACTCTATACGTGGAAGGGAGACTCAGACTCCTTTGCCCTCCCTGTTCTGATCTTCCAACTGACTTTTAAAAATTTCTCTTCCATTGCTTCCTTCCTTCTGTCTTCTTTTCCCTCCTATCCATCCATTCATTTGTTCATTTGTGTGTTCATTTTAGACATTTTTGTTAGGCACTTATTGCTATCAGGCTCTGTTTTTTAGGGCTAAAGACAAGAAAACACCCTTGCCTTCTTAAATGTGGACATTATGGTTGCTAATGGGAGTAGAAAAAAAGAACATTTGTTTAAGAAAAACTGAAAAAAATGAACTTCAAAAGAAACATAGTTTCTCAGATAAAATGCTGAGGAGAGACAGACTATTCTGAAGACCTCTCTTCATTTCCCACCTGGCTGCACTCCTTTGGACTTCATCATGCCCACAGGAACCTCTTCATCCTGCAAGGTCACATCAGTCCTTGGGCTCACAATCATCAGTATCCTCTGTTCCTCAGGCCCCTTGGACTGAAGGACAGAGCAAAAAGCTCTTCCCAGAACCTCCATTTAAGGACAGTGCCCAGGCCAATCATCTCTTCATTTCCTGGCTACACTCTTTTGGACTTCTCCATCATGCCCCTGTATCAGGTACCTTTCTCCTACACCCCACCCCACACTTTTCAGCTTCCTTTTCTTTGTTGTCTTCTCCCATTAGAATGAAAGCTCCTTGAAAACAGGGACTTTCTTTTTCATATCTGTATCCCCAGCACTTAGTATGGT